GGTTTTGGCCAATTGGCCCTGGAGGAAAATTCCTTCCCGGCCCCAAAAGTGGCGACCAGTGCTACCCTGGGCATGTCGGAAAGGGCCTTTGGGACTTACTCAGTCTAAGCCTCTCCTTCCCAACACCAGCTTGCCATGGATATCCCCTTCCTGCTGAGAAAGGCTTGGCTAGATGCTCCTCAGATGAAGAGACTTTTGGTCTTCAAAATGCCTGCCTTGGAAGAGGAACCCTTCTCCACTGGAGATCTTTGCTTTTGTTATGGATTGTTGGCATTAGGACTCAGGCAGGATGGTCTTCATGGTCTCTTCTAACTATGACTCCTAGTTTTCCAAGAGAAAACATGGATCTTCTTTGGGTGCAAAAGGAAAACCATTCCTTTCGACTTCTTTTCTCTTGCCTATTTTGGTTTTATGCTTTTCTTCAGCTTGCTACCAGGTTTTCCTCCCAATTAAATCAACCAACATTCCTTCCTTCCTTCCTTCCTTCCTGCCTGCTTTTTCTCTTTCCTCTTCCTTTCTTCCTGACTTCTCTTCCTGCAGATCCACTTCATTGGATGCTGTGTGTTCAAGAAAGTCCTTCTGGAGATTAGAGATACCTGGGGATAGGAAATAATGCCTTTTCTCTTACCTGATCATTGGGTATCTTTCTTCCTCTTCTCTTACATGATTATTGGGTATCCTTCCTCTTCATCCCTTACCTGCCTTCCTCTTCTCTTACCTGATTATTGTGCATTCTTCCTCTTCATCACTTACTTGATTATTGGGTATTTTTCCTCTTCATCCCTTACCTGATAATTTTGAGGCCTTCCTCTTCTCTTACCTGATTTATTGGGCATGCTTCCTCTTCATCCCTTACCTGATAATTTTGAGGCCTTCCTCTTCTCTTACCTGATTAAGTATTCTCCTCTTCATCACTTACCTGATAATTGGGTATCCTTCATCTTCATCACTTACCTGAATGTTAGGCATTTTTCCTCTTCATCCCTTACCTGATAATAGAGTACAATTATGGATTCCTGGCATTAAGACTCAGGCAGGATGGTCTTCATGGTCTCTTCTAACTATGACTCCTAGTTTTCCAAGAGAAAACATGGATCTTCTTTGGGTGCAAAAGGAAAACTGTTCCTTTTGACTTCTTCCAACAGCAGTACATTTCCAGTGTCAATTAGGAATGGCAAATGTCGTCTTGTATCTCAGGAAGTTCCTCCTTTGGGGCTACTTTTCATTCCAAATTTTGTTCTTTTTCTTCCCAGCCATCTTTTGCCACAGGTGTTTGGATATATATATAAACTGTTGTTATTGTTGTTGTTGTTGTTCATCATTCGTTCAGTTGTTTTCGACTCTTCGTGACTTCATGGACCAGTCCACACCAGAGCTCCCTGTCGGTCGTCACCACCGCCAGCTCCTTCAAGGTCAATCCAGTCACTTCAAGGATACCATCCATCCATCTTGCCCTTGGTCGGCCCCTCTTCCTTTTTCCTTCCATTTTCCCCAGCATTATTGTCTTCTCTAAGCTTTCCTTTCTTCTCATGATGTGGCCAAAGTACTTCATCTTGGCCTCTACTATTCTTCCCTCCAGTGAGCAGTCAGGCTTTATTTCTTGAAGTATGGACTGGTTGGATCTTCTTGCTGTGCAAGGCACTCTCAGAACTTTCCTCCAGCACCACAGTTCAAAAGCATCTATCTTCCTTCGCTCAGCCTTCCCTGTGGTCCAGCTCTCATATCCATAGGTGACTATGGGGAATACCATTGCTTTGACTATGCGGATCTTCATTGCCAGCGTGATGTCTCTACTCTTCACTATTTTATCAAGATTTGTCATTGCTCTCCTCCCAAGAAGATCTGCTGTTGCAGGCACAGTGCCTGCTGGGGAGCTTGGGGCAGCCCTATATAGGCTGCCCACAAAGAGGGAGAGGCCAGCTCAGGCCTCTCCCGCCACGAGGCGTGGTCAGTTGGCCATTGGTCAATTGACCCGCTGGTGGGAAACCTTCCCGCCATCCGAGGGGGCTTCTGGGAGGAAGAAGCCCCCCTGAGGCAAGAATGGCGGTGGGGGATGCCCTGCACCACAACTTCCTTCGGACCATGCCTTTAAGCATCTCTTGATTTCCTGGCTGCAGTCTGCATCTGCAGTAATCTTTGCACCTAGAAATACAAAGTCTGTCACTCTGCCTCCACGTTTTCTCCCTCTATTTCCCAGTTGTCAATCATTCTTGTAGCCATAATCTTGGTTTTTTTGATGTTTAACTGCAACCCATCTTCTGCACTTTCTTCTTTCACCTTGATTGGAAGGCTCCTCAACTTCTCCTCTCTTTCAGCCATCAAAGTGGTAGATATAAATATAGATATATATATTCCTTCACTTCTCAAGCACATCTGCTACTTGCAGTCTTCTATTGCTTCCATAAAATACCAGACTGTGTTCTTGCTTTTTTAGTTGCTATAGGGCCAGAAGAATGGATCTAAGACCTTCAATCTCATTCTGGAGTGGGATGAGTTTCACAAAAGTATTCAGGGGCACTTAATCTGGAAAGTGTCCTCAACTTGAGATGTCTTTCCTTCACATTTGGCTTTTTTCTCCAATGGTCTCCAGCATCTTCTCCAGTTTATTCTTTTCTCTTGCCTAACTTGGTTGTATGCTTTTATGCAGCTTGCTACCAGGTTTTCCTCCAAATTAAATCAACCAACTTTTTTTCCTTCCGTTCTTCCTTCCTTCCTTCCTTCCTTCCTTCCTTCCTTCCTTCCTTCCTTCCTTCCTTCCTTCCTTCCTTCCCTCCCTCCTTCTTTCTTTTTCTCTTTCCTCTTCCTTTCTTGACTTCTCTTCCTGCAGGTCCACTTCATTGGATGCTGTGTGTTCAAGGTGGTCCTTCTGGAGATTAGAAATACCTGGGGATTGAAAATCATGTCTCTTCTCCTACCTGATCATTGGGTATCTTTCTTCCTCTTCTCTTATCTGATTATTGGGTATTTTTCCTCTTCATACCTTACCTGATAATATTGAGACCTTCCTCTTCTCTTACCTGATTATTGTGCATTCTTCCTCTTCATCACGTTCCTGATTATTGGGTATTTTTCCTCTTCATCCCTTACCTGATAATTGGGTATGCTTCCTCTTCTCTTACCTGATAATTGGGTATGCTTCCTCTTCTCTTACCTGATAATTGGGTGCCCTTCCTCTTCATCCCTTACCTGACAATTGGGTATCTTTCCTCCTCTTCTCTTACCTGATTATAGGATATCAATCCCCTGCTTCACTCTTCTGGAGATTGGAAGTCCCTTGCTGCCCCTTTCGGGGTCCTTTGTGCCCAAGGGATGAGGGCAACTCCTGCTCCCTGGTCTCCAGCTGCAGCCTTAACTGTCATAGAACCTTTGGCGCATCACAATCGGAGACATGGCGCATCATCCAAGCCTTGTGTATGGCTCACTGGGGTTGCTAGAGTTGAAGCTGAGGACCAAGCCGATGACCTTTTTAAAGGAGGTGCAAATAGAGGGGATTTCAATTCCCTGTACAACCAAGATTTGCTAAAATTCCCTCATTTGCACCCCTTTAAAGATACAGGGGTCCATTTTCCAATTCTTATTTGAGAACCTAACCCCCAAGTGCACCTTTAAGTGAACTGGTGGATATTATAGTAACACTCCAATAATTATATATATATATATATATATATATATATGTATATGTATATGTATATGTATATGTATATGATGCTGCCTCTCTTTCTCTCTCTCAGCTGGCAAGGAGGAGCTGAAATGCTTTGAACCAGAAGTGTTTGGGAGGGGAGAGGCAGGGGCTTGCGAAAAGGATCAATGGGCCACTTTTCCCTCCCTCTCTCAAGCAGTTCTCTCTCTCAGCTGTTGGTTGCCCCCCCTCCGTGCAGGAGGGGGGCGGGGCCAGGAGGGTGTCCTTTTAAATTCATGCTCTGTATAAGCATTTAGCTTTGTGGCAGATTAAGTTCTTTCTGGTTAATTATTTTTAATTTTTTTGTGTGTGAAAGTCATAGATTGCTTTGGTAGGTATCTTGTGTTCAAATTTGGTGTCAATTCGTCCAGTTGTTATTGAGTTCTGTTAATCCCACAAACGAACATTATGTTTTTATTTATATAAATTTAAATACACCATTTAAAACCGTCTTGGTAATCTGTGTCAAATATAATTGGCCTGGTAATCTTTCCCATTGCTGCTGTATTGCCCTGTCCCGAAAGCTTGGTCCCACAGCCAAGTTTTTACCATCCTTCTGAAGGACAGGAGAGAGGGGGCTGATCAGATCTCACCAGAAAGGGAGTTCCATAGCCGGGGGGCAATCACCGAGAAGGCCCTGCCTCTCGTCCCCACCAGTTGCGCCTGTGACAATGGTGGGATGGAAGTGTGTGGCTTTCTAGATGTTGCTGGACTGCAATGCCCCACAATTAATTATGCTGGCTAGGAATGAATTAAGTTTAAGTTCAAAATTTGTAGGGTAAGAAGTTGACCACCATTGCTTTAAAAGAGGTAAAGCATTTCATGTTGGGGTACCTCTTACCAATACAGTGTTGTCCTGCTGGATGTCTTAGCCCCATGAGAGTGTTACATTGGCCCGATTCAGACATTATAGAGGCCTGGTTACAGTGCATGCCTTCAATTTCTGTGTTTTACTATACATTACTCATTGCTCACCATAGTTTGCTCTCAAACCAAAGACAGAAACTGGAATCCTATCTTGTTCATTGTCCTTTGAGGTGTCAGACCCAGGCAAGAGATATCGGTTGGTATATTCCTGTACTGTAATCAACGAAGCAGGCATTGTTTCCGAAAAGAAATATTAGAGTTTACTTTGTCAAAATAGAAAATGAGGGTGTATTACTATGGAAGTTGCAGTTTTGTTTTAACAATGTTTTAACAAGATAAGGCATACAAGTAAAGTGATTTGTATGTCTGGTTCTGGTCTTAGCAGCAGAAATATAGAGATGTGTTTATTCCATCAAACGATAGGATCACCTTAATATTTTTTTCTCTCAAATAGCAACCTTAGTGTCCCGAGTAACTCAGTGCAGTCAGTACAGTCAAGTTACAATCCTTTTGAAGATGAAGAGGATACTGGAAGTACTGTCAGTGAGAAGGAGGACAATAAAATCAAAAAGTTGGTGAAAGACTGTTCTCAAATATTTTTTCAAGCTTACACTTTTCTGTCAGGGTTTCCATCTCTGGGTTTCTACAAAAACACTATTTCACAATGCATGAGGTCCTTGTTGAGGGATTATGATGTACTTGTCGCAAACTTGACTAACATACCAATGCTCTATCACTTCTGTTTTTCTGGTTGTTTTTTCCACTGGTTCCACAAAATGTCACTATGGCAGCACACTTTGAAACTGCTTGTGGAACTTTGCTGTTCCCTGTGCTCCCTGGATGTGTCCCTTTTGAGGCACTCTCATTGCTTACCATTTTGTTCAAGAGAATATGCTGTTCCTGGTCTTTGATATTGTCTTGGTGATTAACATCTTGTATGTACACTCCTTATAGCTCTAAATGCACTTCATGACTTTGTTCTGAATGTTTGACATCGCAAAGCACAACATCGTTTTAACATGTGTCTTGTGGTACAGTGTTGTCATATCTTTGTGTACTTCCAATTCCCTGTCTCTTATTTCTACTATGCAAGCTAAAATAATACCATTTTGTTTTAGTGTTAGTAGTTACGAGAAAAGCTATGGGGCAGAGTGGTCCGATGAAGAGACAAACAACCCATTTTCATCCAATGATGCTCAAGGAGAAACTAATCCATTTGATGAGGAGACCTCCCCTACAACGGAAGTGAGAGTGCGGGCATTGTACGATTATGAAGGCCAAGAGCATGATGAACTCAGCTTTAAAACTGGTAAGTACTTTTGAGTCATAAAATCATAGAAGATTGGACTTGGAAGGGAAAAGAGAGGGGAGGCCAGGGGACAGCACCACCTTGTCTCCTGCATATGCCATCAGCTGGAGACCCTCCCTCCAGCATCAACTGCCGCTCTGGGCCAAAGCGAAGAGAGCGGAGGCCAGGGGACAGCACCATCTTGGCTCCTGCATATGCCATCAGCCGGAGACCTGTCCCCCCAGCACCAACTACCGTTCTGGGCCAGAGCGAAGAGAGGGGAGGCCAGGGGACAGCACCATCTTGTCTCCTGCATATTCCATCAGTTGGGGACCCCTCCCCCTCAGTATCAACTGCTGCTCTGGGCCGGAGGGAAGCGAAGGAGGGCCAGGGGACAGTTCCACCTTGTCTCCTGTGCTATTCTAATAATATAATGTAATATAATATATAATATATTGTATATACATATAATATTTATATTATAATGTAATGCAATATAATACTACTAATAATAATGATATTATAATTATATATTTATATTGCATGTAATATTACTAATAATATTACAGTATAATTGATATAGTTCAATATAGCAATATTTAAAACTGATATTGTGCTATGCTAATAATAAATCGCATGTATACCTTGTAAGCCGCTCTGATTCCCCTTCGGGGTGAGAAGGGCAGCATATAAATGTCGTAAATAAATAAATAAATGTATCTAATCCCCCCCATACATGTTTTTATCCAGTAAACTTGGATCTTTGTCAAAGAGTTTACTCATCCCATTTGTATAGGAAAGGGTAGGTCTAGGAGAGCACTTTTCTGCTTTATGGCCACAAGTAGGCCCACCCCAAAATAAGAACAAATCCAAATGTAGCTAAAAGCCCAATTTAGGATTTGATCTTTTAAAAAAGGTAACTTGTCACTTCTGAAGACATCAGGAGATGGGATCTCCCCATCCACTTGACTGAAAAATGGTGCTCTGGCGAATCTGGAAGCCTCAAATAACACAGGGTATAGCTTCCTCACTATAAATAGAAAGCATTTTTTCAATGATCTATCTGTCTGTCTGTCTATCTATCCATCCATCCATCCATCCATCCATCCATCCATCCATCTATCTATCTCCTGAGATTTATAAAGAAGGAGCCATGTAATTGCTGTGGGAATGAAGAAATTTTTCAAACTCACCCAAAGATTACCACTTAAAGGTTGTCAGCTGACTGTTTTTCTCCACAGGGGAAGAGCTAACTAAAGTAGAAGATGAAGATGAACAAGGCTGGTGCAAAGGTCGCTTGGATAATGGACAAGTTGGTCTCTATCCAGCAAACTACGTGGAGCCAATCCAGTGATGCATATTTAACAGTGCTGCAGTACCTGTCCGCCAGGGAGATGCTAGAGGGAAACTGGTAGAAATGTGTGTATATTTCTTTTAATGCAGCTGAATGATGGATCGATAACTTTATTCTCTGGGAATCATCTAATGATTGAAGCTGAAATTGGAAGATAGGTAACCTATATGCAGCACAAACAACAAGACAGGAAAAAAGTAGTGCAAGCAGAAAAAGATGATTTTTAGCACCTGTTGCCAGTTCAGTTTTATCATGGCATTTGTATATTAAGATTTTGCTGAGTTTATGCCTCAACCCAGTATTCTGGGTGGTGGTTTATTTTGGCTCTTACTTAAATCAGCTATTTTAAGTGACCTTCTGTAATTTGCAATTTGATTTTTTTAAAGGATTGCAATTTTTGTATCTGTTCTTAGCAATATTTGAGAGATGCATTTTTTTATTTAAAGGCTATTTAGTGTGCCATTTCTCGATATGTGGTTCACTGACGGTTACTACTTAAATTATGATTCAGATGTATTCCCCAGTCCACACTGTACTGTTCTCTTTTTCATGCTGTAGGCATGCCATAATGGTGCAAATGCCATATTGTGCCTGTTGCAGAACAGTGTATCAGGAAGGTTGAAGTTTCTCTTGTGAACGCTGTTCAGGTATTTGGACACCTGAAAAATGAATTCCTTGAATGATGACTCTAAAAATAAAACATTTAAATCATTCCCCTTCATATTCTTGCTGGCCAACTTAACGTTTTGTAAGTTGTTAATGATTTTGTATGATTTTGAAAGTTGACCATATATGAAGATTGTTTTTTCATGCAGAGAGACTGTAAAAAATAGATGAGTGCTTTTTAATTGATATGCTCTTTGAGTTGTGTATATGTATATATAATTTGATATTCAAACATTTGAAGAGCATGTCCTAATTAGCAAGCCTATTGTCTATGCATTAGATTTCAGGTAAAGTCATAGTACCAGTAAATCAGTGTGAGTTTACCATTAAATTCCGGTGGATTTCAGTAAACTACACAATTTAAATGACAGAATTACTCAAATTTGCTTTATCAGTAGGTAATTGTTTAGATGTAAAATAAATCAACTGCTCAGTCCATTCCATTGTGAATGTAGCACTTTCAGAACATAACCTGGGCTGTATTGTACATTCTTGGGATCGCACTAAGGCACTGCGTCCACAGCACCTTGGGATGAAACCTATGTATTCTATGATCCAGACTCCTGAATAAAGTGAAAATAATAGTTATATCCTAAGATTTATATTTGTTAATGAAATTGTGAATCCAAATACAGACTAGCATTAGCCCCACTGTGGATTATTGTAGCAGAACACTGTAAACTCTTCTACTTATTTGCAATTGCGAATCGGCTGTAAAAGTGTGGAATCATAACATTTGTAGGAATTTAAATAGCTGGATTGTGAACATATTAGAGCAAGTTGCTTAATAGAAAACCTAAATTTTATTAGGTAAGCAGATAGGCTATTTTAGGGATCTGCAACACAATTGAAATAACCTTTTGGCAGTTAAAATGCTGTAAGTGCTTCCTGGCTATTCCATTTGCTTTTGGTGATTGAATTATTTATTAACATCTTGAAGTTCAATTGTACAAGCTTGAATATTGGGATCTCTGTCTTGGTTTTATTCCAGCATAATTCACAGAAATTGAAGATATGGGCAGTAATAAGTCTGGAATATTTTTCTGTATAGTATACTATTTTAAAAATAAAATCTTAAACATATTGAACACGGCTTTAGTGGTGAAGGTGTTATTTTTAAAAAAATATATAACCATATGACCAGGGCCGTAGCCAGAAAAAAAAAGTTCGAGGAGGGTTCAAAATTTCGGGGGGGGGGGGGGATTTTGAAAATTTCGGGGGAGGGGGGGTGAAAATTTCAAGGGGGGTTGAAACCTGCCTCTTAGCTCACGCTGAAGCAAAGAGCACAGCAGGGGCAGAGCAGCCTTCAATAGCTTGCAGCTCCATCCCTGTCAACCACCCCCACCAAGTCTGGTCTCCTTCATGAGGACCTTCAAATCTAACCCTATCCCCCCAACTTGGTTGCTTTGCTACATCGGCTATTGCTGCAAGTAATGACAGTGTGAATAAATTGTCGATATTTGCTTAAGATAGTGCTTGCAGTTCTGGAAGGACTCTTAATTTTTTGTGTCTCATAGACTTAGCATGGGGATTTGGTTAACTAGTTAAAATTCAAGAGTAAACCAGATTTATTTTTTTTAACCTGAAAAATTTGGGGGGGGGGTTGAACCCCTAACAACCCCCCCCCCCTCGCTACAGGCCTGCATATGACTGGACTTTCAGAAAAAAATAAGTCTGTAGATGCACAGTGCCTAAGTGTAGAAGTAATTGACACTGTATTTTAATATGGATTGATCAAAAAATGCTAACACGCAACAAGGGGATCAGCTATCTTGAATTTATTCAACTCAACACGGACAACCTGGTTAATGGGGTGGAAGTGGGAGTGTCTAATTTTCAAAACCCTGAAACAAAAATAAATAAATAAAGGATTTGCTACCAACTGTAATGTGCAGTGGCAGAAGGGGCTAAAATTATTGCAGATGCAGACTGCAGCCAGGAAATCAGAAGATGTTTACTTCTTGAGAGGAGAGCAATGACCAATCTCGATAAGGTAGTGAAGAGTAGAGACATCACACTATCAACAAAGATCTGCATAGTTAAAGAAATGGTATTTTCCGTAGTAACCTATCGATGCGAGAGCTGGACCATAAGGAAGGCTGAGCGAAGAAAGATCGACACTTTTGAATTGTGGTGTTGGAGGAAAATTCTGTGAGTGCCTTGGACCACGAGAAGTTCCAACCAGTCCATACTTCAGGAAATAATGCCCAACTGCTCACTGGAGGGAAGGATATCAGAGGCAAAGATGAAGTATTTTGGCCACATAATGAGAAGAGGGGAAAGCTTGGAGAAGATAATGATGCTGGGGAAAATTGAAGGAAAAAGGAAGAGGGGGTGACCAAGGGCAAGATGGATGACTGGCTTAATTTTGAAGGAACCGGGGGTGGCCACGGCCAACAGGGAGCTCTGGCGTGGGCTGGTCCATGAGGTCACGAAGAGTCTGAAATGACTGAATGAATACACAACAAAAGTTGTAAAAGGTGCACTCTTTGTAATATGGCTATTACAATTGCTGCCTACTTAGAATTTCTTCTTTAAAAACAAGTGTTAGAGCACCAAATCTTCCAGCAACGAAAAGGAAACCTTGGGATGCATCTCTGCTGTAGATTTAATAAACTTTGATTGTCTTGGTTCGATGCTATGGAGTCATGGGGACTGTAGTTTTACAAGGTCTTACGCCTTCTCTGCCAAAGAACACCGATGCCTCACCAAACTAAAAATCCCAGATCACATAGCATTGAGCTGTGGCAATTCGAAAACTCTCTTTCAAATAGGAGTTTCAGGTACTCCTGAAGCAGCTTCCTCTTTGGCTTTGGCTCAGCACTAAGATTACCTTACAATGCAAATCTAATGCACAACCTTATTTTGGCAAGGTCATTTAGCAAAAAAGGTGAACATTAGATTTGAGTAAAACTTGTATTTGCTCTCAATAATCAGCCCCAATAAGGAACCTAACTACAACATTTTTAACACTCTAAAGCAAGGGTCCCCAAACTATGGCCCGTGGGCCACTTCTGGCCCGCCAAGAGCACTTATCTGGCCCTCAGAGGAGGAGCGCGCCCCCCCCCCCCACACAGTGCCCCTCCCTTGGCTGGCTCACGCTATCCATCAGGCCCGATGGGCAGCGTTAGCCAGCCAAGGACAGCTGCTCTGCGTGGCCTACTCTCGTGTAAAGCACCTCGCGAGGTGCTTTATGCAAAAGTAGGTCACGTGGTGCTGCTCCTCCCTTGACAGGCTCACGCTGCCCATCAGGGAGGCTGCCCCAGCGCTCCATGCAGTCATGCCGGCCACATGATCTTGGAAGGGTCTACGGACAACGCCGGCTCTTCGACTTAGAAATGCAGATGAGCACCACACCCCAGAGTCAGACACGACTGGACTTCATGTCAGAGGAAAACGTTTAACTAGGAAAATTGTGGAAGATCCAGAGTGGGAGAAAGAACTCTTGTCTGTTGGAGGTAGGTATTAATGTTTCAATTGGCCACCTTGATTACCATTTCATAGCCTGACCGTTTTTAGGGAGAGGTGATTAGCTGGCCCTGATAGTTTCTTGTCTGGAGTTCCCCTGTGTTTGAGTGTTGTTCTTTATTTACAGTTATAATTTTAGAGTTTTTTTTAATACTGGTAGCCAGATTTTGTTCAGACTAGAAATAGGAAGATTTCCCATTCTCTGCTCCTGGAATTACTGCCTAAAGAGGGCTAGAAAGAACCCCCTCTAAGGGCCCTTCCACACAGCAAAATAAGATATGTGCAATGTCCATAGGAATTTTTTATTGATTTTTTTTTTAAAAAAAACTATAGTCTGGCCCTCCAACGGTCTGAGGGACAGTGAACTGGCCCCCGGTTTAAAAAGTTTGAGGACCCCTGCTCTAAAGCTTCACTGGCTGCTGATAAGTTGCTGAGCCAAATTCAAGGTGCATGTTATGGCTTATAAAGCTCTAAACAGTTCGGGCCCCACCTATCTTCGTGATCGCATCTCCCTCTATGAACCGGCGTGAATTTTAAGATCATCCGGGGAGGCCCTCCTTTCGCTCCAATCACCGTCACAAGCACAGTTGGTGGGGGCGAGAGAGAGGGCCTTCTCGGTGGTGGCCCCTCGCCTCTGGAACGCCCTTCCTGGAGAAATAAGACAGGCCCCATCCCTCCCCTCCTTTTGTAAGAGCCTGAAGACCTGGTGGTTTAAACAAACCTTTGAGAACGACTAGTTCTAGCTCTGCCGCAGATACCGTTGAAATTGGCCATATCTTATTCTACCAATTGCCCAGGTCACACTCTTCTGTTAGGCCCTGGGAATGTACAGCCATAGACTACCTAATTTCCTGGGCTCTCTAAAATCGCAGTAGCCCAGCCTGGCCTTTTAAACTGCCTTGATCAGGCATGATTATTTTAAATATATGTGTTATTGTGGTTTTAATGCTTATATTGTCTTGCTAATTTCATGTTTATGCCGTTTTTTCTTATATGTATTGTTTATGTTACTTGGAAACCACTTGGAACCACTTGGAAGTCCCTTTGGGGAGATAGAGCGGTATATAAATAAAGTTTTGTTGTTGTTTTTGAACAGTTTCCAAAGACCACCTCACTTGGAGAGTGGTGCAGGAATTTAAATAGGATGAAGGCATGTGTCACAGTACCCAGATCTGGCATTTCAAGTAATGGGCAAACTGGAACATGAATTTTAGCTCAGTAAACACTCCAGGCCACTGCCAAAACCTAGGCCTCTAGGTTCATCCCAAAGTTATTCACCCTATCTGGTGTCAGACATTTGAAAATGTCAAGTTGCTTCTGACTTACGGCAATCCTAAGGTGAGTCTATGATGGGGTTTTCCTTGGCAAGCTGTGTTCAGAGTGGCTTTGCCTTTTCCTCTCTTGAGGCTGAGAGTGTGTGACTTGCCCAGTTACCTAGAGGATTCCCATGGCAGAGCAGGGATTGGAATACTGGTCTCCGAGTCAAACTCAAAATGTTCACCTTGCTACACCACACTGGCTCTTCTGAAAGTGTCAAGTGCTACTGAGAAATTCAGAGAAAGCTGGTAAACAAAGACAATTTTCGGTACCATTCCATTATTCGGGCGGTCTCCAAAAGGGGTCCTAGACATTGAAGGGATAGTCCATTTTATTGGGGGAGGGGGGCTGAAGGAAGAAAACAATTCCCCTCATCCTGGCCCCTTCCCATATCATATACTATGGCTGTTTCCAAAGGGCGACATGGATGGGGGGGGGGGGGATAACAGGAAAACAGGGAAATGGTTTTACTTCTTAAACCCCCTTTCCCCTTAAAATTGACTACAACCTCTCAACAAAAGATTGCCCCAGGCACTGCAAGGCCTTCAAATGCTAATGAAGGTGGTCAGTTGAAACATTCACACCTAGCTCCAGCAGGGAAGAGCTCCTTGCCCCACCCCAGCCATTCCACAGATATATAAACCCATTGTCCTAATTCCAACAGACCTCACTACCTCTGAGGATGCTTGCCATAGATGCAGGCGAAATGTCAGGAGAAATGCCTCTAGAACATGGCCCTATAGCCCGAAAAAACCCACAAGAACTTAGTGATTCCAGCCATGAAAGCCTTCGACAATACAATGTATCTGTAACTTTAAAAGTAGAACATTCTAATGCAAAATTTAGTTGCCATGCAGAATAAACTTTCATCCCAAGTGCCATTTGCTCGCCTTCCCTAAATTCTGCCACTTGCATCCTTTTAAGATATAGGGCGCCTGTATTTTTGCCCGTCGCCTTGGAAACCGGAAAGCCGGAAGCCCCGCCCTTTCCTGAGTGCCCAATGAGCGGAGAACAAATCAGCCGCCCCCCAGGCAGCGCGTGCGCGGCGTTGCAAAGCAGGCTCGAGGCGCTGACGGCCCCCTCGGGCGCTCCTGATTGGACGCGGCGTGCTGCGTGTCAGTGGGCGGTCTGGCTTCCTGCGCTCTTCCTGCGCGGAGCCGGTGGCTCGGCTTTGTTTGGGCTGAGGGGCCTCGAAGCGGCGGCGGCGGCAGGAATAGAGACGATGTGTGAGCCCAGCAAGCAGGACATTCAGGCCGTCTTCAAGAGGCTGCGTGCCGTCCCGACCAACAAGGTGAGAGGAGAGAGCCCGGCCTTCCTTCCTTCCTTCTTTGACTGCTTCCTTCGCGCCTTCCCTCGCTTGGCCTGTGACACGTTGCACTCTCGCGAGGGGCGGGGCGGCCGAGATGTTTCCCTCAGGCCGTGGGAGCCACGTCGCCTGCGTCGGGCCCATTAGCCCAACCACTTTGAGGAAGCCCCTCGCGCTGGGCTTGCTGCCACGTACTGTATATGCTCATAGATGCCGTTTAATAGTATCATAGTCTGTCTGTTGGATTTGGGTTTGTAACCCGTCTTGAGCTTTGAGGAGAGGCGGGTCACTAGTATCTATCTTCCATCTTCTTATGTAAATAAAAATGTAACGTTCGTTTGTGGGATTAACATAACTCAAAAACCACGGGACGAATTGACACCAAATTTGGACAGCATACACCTAACAACCCAATGTATGTCCTTCACTCAAAAGAATGATTTTGTCATTTGGGAGTTGTAGTTGCTGGGATTTATAGTTCACCTACATTCCAAGAGCATTCTGAACTCCACTAATGATGGAAGTGAACCAAACGTGGCACACAGGACTCCCATGATCAACAGAAACCCTAGAAGGTTGTGGGAGTTGTAGTTCACCTACATCCAGAGAGCACTGTGGACTCAAACCCTGATGGATCTGGACCAAACTTGGCACGGATATTCCATATGCCCAAATATGAACACAGATGGAGTTTGGGGGAAATAGACCTTGACATCTGGGATTGATAGTTCACCTACAATCCAAGAGCATTCTGAACTCCACCAACGATGGAATTCGGCCAAACTTAGCACACAGGGCTCCCATGAGCAACAGAAAAAACTTGAAAGGTTTGGTGGACATTGACCTTGAGTTTGGGAATTATAGTTCACCCACATCCAGAGAGCACTGTGGACTCAAAACAGTGATGGATCTGGACCAAACTTGGCACGAATATTCCATATGCCCAAATATGAACACAGATGGAATTTAAGGGAAATAGACCTTGACATTTGGGAGTTGTAGTTGCTGGGATTTATAGTTCACCTACAATCAAAGAGCATTCTGAACTCCGCCAACGATGGAATTGAACCAAACTTGGCACACAGGACTCCCATGCCCAATAGAAAACACTAGAAGGGTTTGGTGGGCATTGACCTTGAGTTTGGGAGTTGTAGTTCACCAGCATCCAGAGAGCACTGTGGACTCAAAACAATGAAGGGCCTGGACCAAACTTGGCACAAATACTCCATATGCCCAAATTTGAACACAGATGGAGTTTGGGCAAACTAGACCTTGACATTTGGGAGTTGTCACTGAGATTTATAGTTCACCTACAATCAAAGAGCATTCTGAACTCCACCAATGACTGAATTGAACCAAACATGGCATACAGGACTTCCATGACCAACAGAACACACTGGAAGGGTTTGGTGGGCATTGACCTTGAGTTTGGGAGTTGTAGTTCACCTACATCCAGAGAGCACTGTGGACTGAAACCATGATGGATCTGGACCAAACTTGGCACGGATATTCAATATACCCAAATATGAACACACATGGAGTTTGGGGGAAATAGACCTTGACATCTGGGAGTTGTAGTTACTGGGATTTATAGTTCACTACAATTAAAAAGCATTCTGAAACCCACAAACGACAGAAATGGGGCAAACTTCCCACACAGAACCCCCATGACCAACAGAAAATACTTAAGGCCATCCAGTCCAACTCCCTTCATCAGGGCAAGAAAATGGAATCAGAGCCCTCCTGACAGAGCCATCCAGTCATAAATATAGATAGATATGATTCTCTCTCTCACAGACACACACATATAGTATCATAGATTTGAAAGAGACCCTTAAAGAAGGACTATGATATGTTGCATATTCCAGAGTAGGCAAACCAGACACACTCCACATCAACACTGACAAAGAAACAAGAAATACTGTTTACTCACAAGCATAAAGGAATTACATATATTAGAAACCAACACTTTCTCATTACTTTATTTTCCAGATCACCAGACTGGGCCACAGCAACGCGTGGCAGGGGACAACTAGTCTATATAAATAAAATTGTATGTTCGTTTGTGGGATTAACATAACTCAAAAACCACTGGGCAAATTGACATCAAATTTGGACACAAGACACCTATGCGGCCAATGAGTGACCATCACTCACAATAACATTGAAAAACACAGTGGAAGGGACTTAAAAACAAAAAACAACTAATACAATACTATGCATGTGCAAAACCACATATATACACATATACACAAATATATACACACACAAAACACATATTCACAGTCTGGGCCACAGCAACGCGTGGGAGGAGATGGCTGGTTAATGATAATTTGATAACATTATGATTAAACATTATAGTAATAGTCTTAATTTATGATTACTAATGCTATTTTATTTATTTTTATGTGTTTGTATCCCGGTTTATCTCTCCATGCGGGGATTCAAACCAGCTCACAATTAAAAACATTACACCACAACTTCAAATGTGCAATAATTATAATATTTTTAAAGTAAGGTCTGTTTGAACATAAGTACAGTATATTCTGGCGTATAAGACTACTTTTTAACCCAAGAAAATCTTCTCAAAAGTCAGGGATCATCTTATATGCGGGTGTAGCCTTATGCATGGGAGTCGTCTTAACTCTATATTTTAACTGGAAAAGTTGGGGGTCGTCTTATACGCCCAGTCGTCTTATATGCCGGAATATACGGTATACAAAGAAAGTTTATTTCAAAAAAGTAAATTTATTTTCAGAAAGTACATACTTCACTCTATTTTTCGTTGTCACGGCCATCTTTGAATTGTCGTACCCACTTACGCACTTTGCTTTCACTCATAACAGTATCACCGTACACTTCACAAATCTGTTGATGAATTTCTGCAGCAGGCAGGTTCCTTGCTGACAAAAACCGTATCACTGAGCGAACCTCACATGCGGAGGGTGAGTTGATAGTCTTAAACATTTTTAAAGCACAGAACAGAACCGTACAGGTTAGCTACAGAGAGGAAACTGAGCACAGTTGTTCCCAAGGCATGCCGGTACACAACGCACATGCTCGTTGCGCTATGCGCGAACTACTAGTGTCTACAACAAAACGGACCTTACTTAAAAAATACCCCTCGTATACACACAATGTTACGTAATAGCGTGCGCGCGCGTGTGTGTGTGTGTGTGTGTGTATATATATAAAATTTATATTGTATATATTATATATATGATATTATAAATTATATTATGTTGGAAACCGCTTTGAGTCCCCCATTGAGGTGAGAAAAGTAAATAAATAAATAAAATTTATATATCTATATATCTATATAAATAAAAATGTAATGTTCATTTGTGGGATTAATATTACTCAAAAACCCCTGGACGAAATGACACCAAATTTGGACACAAGACACCTATCAGGCCAACAAGCAACCATCACTCATAAAAAAAAAAACACAGCATAAGCGACTTGAAAAGCTGAAAAACAAAAATTACATTACAATGCACGCACAAAACCACACATATATAAACACACAAAACACATATACACAGACTGGGCCACAGCAACATGTGGTAGGGGACAGCTAGTGTGTATGTGTGTGTGTGTGTGTGTGTGTGTGTGTATATATATATATATATATATATATATATATATAATAAACTACAACTTATGATATAACACAATATCATATCCTAATAACATACTGGTGGTATATGTGTTGTTGTGTAATATAGTACAATATAATATATATAATATTACTAATATTGCAGTATAGTAAAATATAATCTATATAAATAAAATGTAATGTTAGTTTGTGGGATTAACATAACTCAAAAAACACTGGGCGAATTATTACCAAATTTGGACACGACACCTATCAGGGCAATGAGTGACCATCACTCATAAAAACACTGAAAAATACAGTGGAAGGGACTTAAAAAGCAAAAAGATGCTACAGCGCACGCACAAAAACGACTCACCTGGCAAACAAAATACACAATAGCTTATCCACACTTTCTTCCAGACTACAGCTCCCAGAATGCCTTAGAGCAGGCCCTTTAGGAGAGGAAGATGATCCAAGTGCACTGTTTCCGAGCTGCAAGCTTTCTTCTCCTTGGATTTCTTTGAGAGCCTCCCAATCACTGCATATTTCCAGATTCCTATTCCTGGACTGCAACTCCCAGCAATCCTCCAGAGAGATAGATTAGATGGGGATAGGTAGGTAGATTGATCGATCAGGAGTACTGCTGGGAGTTGTAGTCCCAGAATAGGTAGAGAAGGAGGAAAGGAAAGAAAGGGCTTGTACATTTCTCTTCCACAATACAGGCATCCCATACCCCAAATATAGGCAGTCCCCGAGTTACAAACGACTCTTACTTAAGAACGAGGGTGAGACACTAGGAAGTGAGAGAAATCTACCCCTCAGAAGGGAAATTCACTCCTGAAAGAGTTAAGATGAGGAAAAGGTGTCACCACTGAAGCTTTATCCTCAATCCTTTTGGCCACAACAAATCCAGTTCAAAATCCAATTATCACAGAAACAGAAAGCGAGGTGTCATCTTCAGAACAGGGGCACCAACAGCAAAACAAATGCCACAGGGGTGTTTGGATATGCTATACAAGGATTGATGATTGTTTAATTAGAGCAACACTTGAAAAATGTCCATGTTTCAACTTATATACAAATTCAATTTAAGAACAAATCTACAAAACTTACCTTTTTTTTTTTTTGAACCTGGGGACTTCTTATAATCCCAAATCCAGAAAACTCCGGAGTCGTCCACATGAGAGACTTTGCGCTCTGATGGCTCACTGCGTGTATTAATATTACCCCCGGTGGCGCAGGGGGTTAAAGCACTGAGCTGCTGAGCTTGTTGACCAACAGGTCGCAGGTTCGATTCCGGGGAGCAGCGTGAGCTTCCTCTGTCAGCCCCAGCTTCTGCCAACCTACTAGTTCAAAAAAATGCAAATGTGAGTTGATCAATAGGTAC